GAGTCTAATTTTATACTATGCCGAAAATCGGATACTTAAAGAAAATGAAACATCTTCTAGGGGCGTGGATGAGTGCATTTTCTACTAGCGATAAATTAAAAATAGCCTTGATTGTAAAAATTTATATCGCAGTTTTTGTTAAAACTATAGTTGATACAATTTACGTATTCAGTCGGGTAATGCCAAAGCTGGCTAAACTTATTAGTCTCACCTTCCAAAAAATCTTTTGCGGTACGTATAAAGGTTCAAACTGTCCCTGAAAATCAATAATAAGATTCGGGTAAATTTCGGTGATTTGCACATCACCCGAAATTATTAATCAATAAACACCGAATTTCAGAACACAACAAACTCTTATGATCATGAATTTATTTCTGTCTGTTATTTTTTTTCATATGTTACGAAATATTCACGTTTACTCGAATTACAAGTCAACCGACAACTCCCTACCAATCATGATCATAAATTGTCGGATAACACCATTATTCGGCAAATGGCTCAACCGGGCAAAGGATTGGCTGACGTGTCGCTTCGCGGCACGTGTTCATTTGCCCGGTTGAACCAAATTACCGTTATAATGTATATTATCTCAAAAAATCATATTTTTTCGACTCTTTCAACTACAAATCCCCATACTTTGTGCTGTTTTTTTAATTGTATCCTTTTATTTAGCTAATAATTATAATGATCTGATTTTAATTAGTGTTTCATTGATGATTTTGGATTATGCCAGGCGAATTAAGTGTAACGATTATATATAAATGGGTTCGTTCTTGAAGTAAATCAAGTGTAGTCCAATTCAAATTACATCTTATGAATGCTCATTGGGTCGAGTATATATGCTTTCAATTACGCATTATACTATGTCGCTGATTAGCATTTAGGTGGTACATGCAAAAAAAGGACGATCCAATTTTGTTTTTATCACATGATATTTTCTATTAGTTGATATATTAAAAAATAAAAATCTTGGATTCTCGCTCTGCTAGTGTTCCTAGTTGGTAAAAATTTTTCCAATCAATTAGTTGGATTCGGATCACTACGCTCTGCTGACCCGGCCGGGATATGTCCGAATTATAGCTGTTTTCATAAATTCTGGAAAATCTGGCAAAAATCGACCGACCGAATATTTGCCGTTTGATTCGAATGTAATCACATCCGAATCAAAAGTTTATCAAAAACTTATCGAATCGGCAAATGTTCGGTCGGTCAATTTTTGCAGAATTTTTTGTGCAACGATCCAATTTTGTTTTGGTCAGGATTTCTATTGGTTGATATATATATTAATAAAAAATAAAAATTTAGATTCCCACTCTGCTGACCCGGCCGGGACATGAAAACCGATTATATAAGTATGTCCTAATTTTACTGAATTTTTTCTGGGATCTTTCAAATCCTTGAAAATGAGATTACTTTTGTATTCAAGTGTTCGAAAAGTTTTTGACTATAAGAGAAACTTTTTGCAACGAGCTCTTCATGCAAGTATCCAGGAGGATAAGAATTGTTTTATCGAGAAACTAGAAGGCGAAGATAAAGGTTTGCACTTAACCGAACAAACGAATAGTATCATAATATAATAATTAGTAAAAGAAAAAAAAGTGTATCATTCTTATTTGCTTCAATAAGGCATCTCAATTATAAATTTAAATCGACCAAGCACAAAAAATGCAATATCGCAAAAGCTTTTGATGGAGTTTCATGATGTGATAGGAAAATTACGAAATGAATCGTATGTTAAAAGTAATTAATTGCTTGGATAAGATTTTACAATTGTTTATAAGGCTTGTTTTTCTAATTAATTTGTAGTGACAGTCGTGTCATTATACTA